GGAGGAGGAGGAGCAGTAGGAGGAGGAGGAGGAGCATGATGATGATGAGGAGGAGGAGGAGGAGGAGGAGGAGCAGGATGAGGAGGAGGAGGAGCAGGAGGAGGAGGAGGAGGAAAAGGAGGAGGAGGAGGAAAAGGAGGAGGAGGAGGAGGAGGGAGAGGAGGAGGAGGAGCAGGAGGAGGAGGAAGAATAACTTTTTCCTGCCACATGCGCTGCATCATGTTTTTTTCTCGCAGTGCGTCCTTGCTTGTTCACCCCCCCCCCCACGGGCAGCAGCCCCCTGGGGGGAGGCCGCGTTCGATGAACCCTCGGGCCGTCATCAATCAATCAACCAGGGGGAGGGAAGGAGGAGAATCGGGGAGACGTACGTCGGGCGTTCGCAGAACTGGGTTTAGTGGGACCTGGTTTACTGATGTGTGCTGGGGGACGCCCCCCCCGCCCGTTCCACTAACCAGAACTGCCGTCACCCGCAAAAACACCAGCTACGGCAAGCCTGGTTTAGCGGTTCTGGCCAATCTAAGGGCTCCAGGGCCCTACTACTGACTGGGTCCCCGTACCTGGGGTCCTGGCTGTACCAGAATACGGCTCGGGTACGGGGTACGGGGGACTCGGGTTGACCTGACGGGGCCATCATAAAAGTGACGAGACCCAATCTGAATTTCGACGCAAGCTAACTACCGCTGCAAACATCCCACGAGAACTGGACCGTCAAATCCAGGACGCGCTCGTCGAAGAGCGTCAGCAAACCCGCGAGCTCCGGCGTTCTCGAGTCTTGCGCTTCCCCGTCAGGAAGAGGGAAGGAGGAGAAGGGGAAGAGGGGTGGAACAGAAGGGGAAGGGGAAGAAGGGTGGGACAGAAGGAAGGAGGAGAAGGGGAAGAAGGGTGAGACAGCAGGAAGGGGAAGAAGGGTGGGACAGAAGGGGAAGAAGAAGGGTGGGGCAGAAGGGGAAGGGGAAGAAGGGTGGGACAGAAGGGGAAGAAGGGGTGGGACAGAAGGAAGGAGGAGAAGGGAAGGGAGGAGAAGGGGAAGAGGGGCTTTGGGGGGGGCGGGACAGACGGGGGGCAGTGGCGCTCGCCCCGGCTCGACCCCCGGCCGCCCTCCGCCGCCCCTGGCGGAGGGAGTTGTCTTCCGAGCAGGCCCCCCGAGAAAGCAGCTCGCGCCGTCGACATCGCTCCTCGCGCCCTCTGCATCGCTCGCGCCAGCAGGGAAGCTTGGGAATAGACTGACCCTCCTCCTCCTCCTCCTCCTCCTCCTCCTCCTCCGTTTCCTCCCCCCACTCCTAGCCCTTTCGATCAGGGTCGGCGGCACCGGCCGTCAGGCCTCTCCAATAGACTGACCCCGCCTGCACTAGGGTGCTCCCAAAGACGATCCGCGCCGCAGCCTCCCGCATGATCCCCGGCGCCTGCTCGCAGGGCCGCCGCCCCAACAGGCTGCTCGCTCGCTGCGCTGCCGCTGCCACGCGAGAAAACAACACGTGGAACACCAAGCTGCGCGATACCTCTCGCAGAGCTGACTGCTCCGGCCAGGCCCAGGACCGACGACCTGGACCTCTGTGATGCCCAAGCTGGACAGCCCCAGTGCAGAGCCGTGCTGGGTGGCGTTGTCCGAGCATGGTTCCCCAGCCCTGCACTGCAGCCCCTACTGCATAAAGGTCTGGCGACGGCCACGGTCGTAGATCCAGATCAGGAATTAGCAGCGGAAGGACAGCCACGCGTATGCGCCACGCATCCTGTGACAGGGAGGCCACCCGTTGCTGCACCGCGGCTCTGTAGTTGCTACGGGAACCAAGCGGCTCTCCCAGCTGCCACACTCCAGGATGCCCCATTGCACCAGGGAAGATGGCGACAGGGCGGCCCATGTGCTATCCTCGGACCCATGTACTCTCATGAACACCTCCCAATACAGGTCCGCGTCCAGCAGGGCCCATAGCGCCGCCGTCCGGTACGCCACGTCGACGACCGAGCGCTCCTTGACCCCGACAGCACCCACCCCGGCTCCCCAGAAACCAGGGCGCCGCCGCGCTAGGGCGGCAAGCCCAGGAATGGCCACGCCCAGACCTCGCAATCCGTGTCCGCCACATGGCCTGCCCCCGGAGCGACGGCCCACAGCCGTCTTCTGGAGCGAAGGCCGCCTGCCGCCGCACCGCTGCAGCCCGTCCCGCGGCAACCGCGACACGTGCGGCGGCGCTGCTCGAGAAGGACCGACTCGTTAGAAGCAGAAGGAGAACAAAACGTCACAAGCATAAACTCTTGGCGCTCCGCGCGGGTTTCCTGGGTCTGCGGCGCCGGAGGCGCCGCCAGGGGGGCCCAGCGCAGATCCGAGAGGCCTCGGATTGTTTTTATGTTTATGCCATTCTTCGTTCCCCTGTTCTTGCGGTCGGGCCCCTATACTGTAGGAGTCGCGCGTCAGCCAGTCCACCCGTTGATGCTCATGGCATTTTTTTCGTCGTCGACCATCCGGAGCCCCGAAACGGTGCGGTGACGGACCGTGCGGTGACCTCGAAATCCCCCAAGCCCTCACCGCACGGTCCGTCGCCGCACGGTCTGGGGACCTCGGAGGCCCCCGTCGCCCGAGACGCCCTCGGAGAACGACCCGAGCCCCAGAACCGTGCGGTGACCCCAGAGATCCGATGTCGTGATTTTTTCAACACGCGGTCCCTGGAAGTCTCGACCCATCCCTGACTCCTGATCCGCCCTACTTTGGGCGATTTCGAAAGTAGGGCGGAAATTTCCGCCCTACTTTTGAGGCCCCTTTGAGCGTCGATTTCCGCCCTTGAGGCTCCTTTGGCGTCGATTTCCGACACAATTTTAGGTCGGAAAATCATCCAAAGTACGGCGGATCAGGAGCCAGGGTTCCCCAGGACCGGTTTTTCATCCTGAGCCGTTTTCTGACGGTCCCAGGGCCCGGCGAGGGCCCCTGGGGGCCGAAAATTGCGAAAAACCTCCGTCTTGATTTTTTCAATACGTTGGATCTTTGGGACCCCGAACCCCCACCGACTCACCGCACGGTGTGGTCACCAGCCCGTTTGGGGGCCCCCGAGCTCAGAAGGCCCCCATGGCCGAGACCGGGCCCCCGGGCCGAAACCATCGCAAGAAACCCAACCCCGAACACCCGCGCGCGAGGTGCATCCGAGGAGAGAACCGGAGCACCCCAGACGCAGCCGCTCCTTTCCCAGAGATCCAACGTATTGAAAAAAATAAGACGGAGGTCTTTCACAATTTTCGGCCTCAAGGGGCCCTCGCCGGGCCCCGGGGCCGTCAAAAAACGACTCAGGATGAAAAACCGGTCCTGGGGAATCCCTGGCTCCTGATCCGCCGTACTTTGGATGATTTTCCGACCTAAAATTGTGTCGGAAATCGACGCCAAAGGAGCCTCAAGGGCGGAAATCGACGCTCAAAGGGGCCTTAAAAGTAGGGCGGAAATTTCCGCCCTACTTTCGAAATCGCCCAAAGTAGGGCGGATCAGGAGTCAGGGATGGGTCGAGACCTCCGGGGGCCCCGTATTGAAAAAATCACGACGTCGGATCTCTGGGTTTCACGGCCGCGGGACGTCGCCGCGCCGCGCGCGGAGCGAAGAAGCCCGGGGCACCCCGACGAAAAGCGCACGGCGTCCATGAGGCGAGCGCCCACCGCATGGCTCGGGTCGGGCGTAAGGGGGGGACAGCAAAGGGGGGGTTTGAGAATCAGCTCACGCAGCTGATTTCCCCGGCGCCTCCCGGCGCCAGGAGGCGCCCATGCATCGAGGAATGGGCCCCTCGGTAGGGCCGAAACCAGCTGCACGCAGCAAATTTCGGAACCCCCCCTTTCCCAACCCCCCCTTTCGTCCGACCCGAACCCAAAGATCCGACGTCGTGATTTTTTCAATGCGGGGTCCCCAGAGGTCTCGACCCATTCCCCAGGACCGGTTTTTCATCCTGAGTCGTTTTTTGACGGTCCCGGGGCCCGGCGAGGGCCCCTTGGGGCCGAAAATTGCGAAAAACCTCCGTCTTGATTTTTCAATACGTTGGATCTCTGGGAATGGCGCTTGTCCCTCCGCCGATCCGAGGGCCCCCGGGCCGGGCCCGGGACGCGCTCGCCCGTCGTGCTCTGGGGCGGCGCCCCTCGACGGGCCTCGGGCGCCGGAGGGCTCGCGGGCCCCACGGGCGGCCGCGCGGGGCGGGCCCCTACAGGCGGATGTGGGATTTTTTTTTTTTTTTTTTTTTTTTTTTTTTTTTTTTACAAAAAAAAGCGCCCCCAGAATGCTCCGAAATATTCAAAAATAGTTTAAACATCGTCCCCGTACTATTTTTTGTTGTTGGGCCCCAGAGATCCGATGTTGTGATTTTTTCAATACGCGGTCCCTGGAAGTCTCGACCCATTCCCCAGGACCGGTTTTTCATCCTGAGCCGTTTTTTGACGGTCCCAGGGCCCGGCGAGGGCCCCTGGGGGCCGAAAATTGAGAAAAACCTCCGTCTTGATTTTTTCAATACTTTGGATCTTTGGGTATTTTTGAATTTTCCTCCTGTGGAGGGGCCCTCGGCGAGGCGCAGCGGAGGGAAGCCGCCCCGGAGGCCGAGCACCTCCAGGAGACCTTCAGGACCTCATGGGGCGCCGAACTTTGCGCGCTCTCGCGCCGCCCCCCGTGGGGAGGAGGAGGAGGAGGAGGAGGAGGAGGAGGAGGAGGAGGAGGAGGAGGAGGAGGAGGAGGAGGAGGAGGAGGAGGGAGGAGGAGGAGGGGGATGGAGGAGGAGGAGGAGGAGGAGGAGGAGGAGGAGGAGGAGGAGGAGGAGCCGAACCGCGAAGCGCGAATGATTAACTTCGCGCCCTCGAAGACACCCTTGAAACCTCCGAACCGCCCCCACGACGACGACGACCACGACGACGACCCACGACGACGACGACGACGACCACGACGACGACCCACGACGACGACGACGACGACGACGACGACCACGACGACGACGACGAACACGACGACGACCACGACGACCACGACGACGACGACGACAACCCGGGGGCGCCTCTCCATGAACCGCACGGCCATCTCATCGGCGGCTACCTCGGCGCGCTGCCCCGGCCCCGCCCGGAGCTGCCCCCGCGGCCGCGACAACGACGCCCCCCCACTGGCCATCGCTCGGACGTCCATTCCCTGTGTTTTTTTGGTTTCGTGCGTGGTTTTTTCGCCAAATGATCAGGGATGCTCCTCGATGGTCCTCGCCGAGGAAAAATGCACACGTCCGAGCGATGCCAAGCCCAAGCGCCCTCAGCACCTCCCGCGGGTGAGCAGAACGAGGAGTGGACCTCGTGGGCGCTGGCCACGGCATCTGTCGACGTTCGGCGGCGAGCGAGGGGGGGAAGTGAGCAGGAGAGGGCCTTTTCGGGAGGCTCGGAAGTCCCTCTGCCTTCTCAGGAGCTTTCCACGTCTTCCCCGAAGGCAGACAAAAACACTCCTCGGAGGGCGCGGGGGCTTCTGCGCTGTCCCGCCGCCCTCTGTGCAGGCCTTCCCCTTCTCGTTTCCCCCCCTCGCTCGCCGCCAAGATGCACACCGTCTCCGGGAGGCACAGGGCCAGCGTATCGAAGGGGGGGACACGCGGGCCCGGCCCAGATCTGACACGGGCACGGACACGGACACGGCCCGCGCCCTGCACCGCGCGAGCGCCTCGGGATCTGGGGCCGAGCCACCCGGAAACCGATCGGCGTGCAAAACTACAGCGAGACACTGCCCATGTAGAAGGAGAGTAATAATAATAATGATAATAATAATAATAATACTAATAATAATAAAAAATAATACTAATAATAGCAACACCACCAGCAACGATAACAATAACACTAACACTAACACTAACAACAACAACAACAACAACAACAACAACAACAACAACAACAACAACAACAGCAGCAGCAGCAGCAGCAACAACAACAGCAGCAACAACAATCATGTTACAACTGTTCACTCTTATCTGCTCGCGTGTCATTCAATATGCATATCCCAATCCCTGGATACCCGCCCTCTGCGTCTTGGATCGTACCCCCTTCTGGGGGGTATATTCACTCCCTGCCACGAAGGGCAGCAACGGGGCCACGAAAGGCAGCGAGCGAAGGCGACCGCGGAACCAGTACGGGCAGCGAGGGGCATCGAAGGCGGGCGAAGGGTAGCAAGCGGCGACTGCAGTCCCTAACGGGCTGGTCGGGCGGGCAGGCCCAGACGGGCGGGTCGAGCGGGCGGGTCGTTGAAGCGTAAATTCTGCTTGAACCGCTAGGCAATATGCAGCGGGAGCGCGACTCCTGAGTGTCGAGGAGCGGCATCTGGATAAATTGTGAGGAAGTATCAGGCGGGAGCCGCGATTCGGAGGTAAGTTGCGAGGAAGTCCCAAGCGAGAGCCCGATTCTCAAATAAATTGTAAGGAAATATCAAGCGGGAGCCGCGACCTGGTGGTAAATTGCAAGGAAGTTCCAAGCGAGAGCGCGATTCTTTAAAAACTTGTGAGGAAGTATCAGGCGGGAGCCGTTGTTGTTGTAAACTGGGGGCCAACGACACCGTTTGACCCTCAAGACCTTCCCGGATAAAAAATAGGGTGCGAGCCTCGGGAAGGGCACTTCAATCGAGAAAAAACAATGTGCACCGGACGGGGGGGATCAACATTAATTATTCTTCAGAAAGGAGAGTTCAACAACAACAGCAACAACAACAACACCAACGCAAACAACAACAACAACAACAACAACAACAACAACAGCAGCAGCAGCAACAACAACAACAGCAGCAACAACAACAACAACAACAACAACAGCAACAACAACAACAACAGCAGCAGCAGCAACAACAACAGCAACAGCAGCAGCAACAGCAACAGCAACAACAACAACACCACCACCAACAACAACAACAGCAGCAGCAACAACACCAACAACAACACCAACAACAACACCAACAACAACACCAACAACAACACCAACAACACCAACAACAACAACAACAACCAACAACAACAACAACAACAACACCAACAACAACAACAACACCAACACCAACAACACCAACAACAACGACAACGACAACAAACAACAGCAACAACACCACCAACAACAGCAACAACACAATCAAACGCCATAAGCCTAAACTTTTGGCGCTCCGCGCGGAGTTCTCGGATCTGCGCTGGGCCCCCCTCCCTGGCGCGCGGAGCGCGCCAGGGGGAGCGCCGGAGGCGCCCGCCGTCGGGGGGGGGGCGCCAGCGCGGACCCGAGAACTCCGCGCGGAGCGCCAAAGGTTTATGTTTATGGCGCTTGTGCTCCTTCTTCGATGCCCATTCACACCTCACAGACTGTGTGCGCGCCCTCGACTCGACATCAAGCCACACCTGGATCTGCCACTGCGAGCTCCAGAGGCCCCACAGCTCCGGGGGCCCCGAGGGCGACCCGGGTCCCCCGTGCTTCCCCGCCCTCGCCCCTCCGAACACTGCCCCCCCCGACGTTGCAGAGCCACTCCCAGCGCGCCAGTGCGCGTGGGCAGAGGTGCTCCACGGACAGCGGCCGCGCTCCACGACTCGCAAATCGCAAAACAGCTGCGCGCGAGTGGCCTGGAGCCGCCGCCAGGGACTCCTCGCCATCGCTCGGACGTCCATTCCCCGTGCATTTTTCGATTTCGTGCGTGCATGTCTCGCTCAATGATCAAAGACGCTCCCCGATGGCCCTCGCCGAGAGAAAATGCACACGTCCGAGCGATGCCAAGGACTCACGATCCAGTGCATCGAGGAAGACACGTGAGCGACGGTCAGAAACGGGTCTTGCGCGAGATGGGTGGCACGGCGACCCCGCGCGGCGGCTTCCGCGGGCCGACAGCGCGGCACGCCGGCACGCCACACTGGAGACGAGGGCGCGCGCGCGCGACCATGCGCGGGGAGCTTACGCGCCAATGTTTGCCAGCCTGGAACATATCCCTATCTCTGTGCTGGGCATCTCCTCCTCACGATGCCCCTCTTAGGGGTTCCCTTAGCTTTTCAGGGCGCATCCCTGAGATTGTCGTCGCCTTGTTGCGTGCCAATCTTAGGGATAGGGATATACGTTCGAGGCCGGTGAGATGTCGGCGAAGACGGCCCCGTTTTCTCCCGTCGCTCATGCACTTTCTTCGGACGTTTGCGAGTACACCCTGCGAAATGCTTTAGAAATCATGGGTTAAGAAATTCATCGTCTCAGATCTGGAATAAAAACCCAACGTTTCTATCAAAATCTTAGGAATTAACTTGAAACAGTAAGAATAATCGAGACTCTGGCCGAAAACTTAGGTTTTCTTAAGCATCGCCTAAGGTGTAGGCCCTCTGCGAGCAGAGGAGCGCGCTCGATGACTCCGGGTCGGCGCCGTTCGCAGGGGCGAGAGCGGGGACCACGGAGCTTCACGGGCGGGCCTCCGAACCCAACCCCCACGCCAGCGCGCTCCCCCACGCGCGGGCCAGGGCATGCCCGTGGACGCCCACTGGAGCCTCGGAAAAAGCTAGCATGTTAGTTCTTCTTCTCCTCCTCCGCTTCCTCCTCCTCCTCCTCCTCCTCCTCCTCCTCCTCCTCACCCCGCTTCTCTCCTCCCTCAAATGGCGAACTGGGAGCTGGCGACGTCGCTGGTGAAGCTCCCAACTTGCCCAGCGGTGCCCCCACGCCGTCTGCCGGTCGCAGGCTGTCTGTTGCAGCTGCGAACGGTATTGATCAGGTGACTTGCACAGACTTGACAGACTAGACGAACAAGCCTACGACGCGAACGTGCAGGACAGACACACACACACAGACAACAGACGTATCTGCAAGCAATGACTCCCAACGAAACCGTGCGGATCGCGACGATGGTCACGAGGATGAGGCCCTAGCCTACTCTGCTGTATCCTGCCGACTGGGCTCGACGGTGTAACATTGCATTATCGTCTGCTTTTGAATCCTTTAAACCCATTCGAATCCGCTCGAATCCATCTGATTCAAGCATGCTGCAATGTCAACTCCTCGGCCAAGGACGTGGCCATTGCGCAAGTTACCGTAGAAATCTACAGCGCGTGGCTGTATGAAGCAAGCCTTGAACGCACAAGCAGACTGACGGACACACAACCAAGCTGTGACACAGACAAACAAACTGCGAACGCACTGCATCATACTAAATCGCGCATGGTCATCAACGCACGACGTCGGCCTCAAACTGCTCGCACGCCGCACAAGCTGTGCGAGGGGGCGGCCTTTTCAGAAGGCACCCCGCCTCTCAGCACCCCCCCTGCCTTCTCGAAGGTCGTCTCGGCTGCCTTCCTTCTCTTCCCCGCTCCATCCTTCCTCCTCGTCCCTCCTCCACCCGTCCAACCGCCCACCCGACCACCCTCCACTCGGGCACGCGCTGACTTGGATTACGGATCCGTGTGTCTGGCGCGTGGGCGCCAAATCAGATCCGCGATCGGGGAATGCTCACTGCACCGACCTTGCAGACGTGCGGCAGCGGGATTTTTGCGTGGATTTCTGTCAATGCGAAACCCCGAAACGGCGAGCGAAAAACAGGGTGGATTTCACGCGGACTTTTGTTTAGTTTTCATTCCTGGCCAAAAAAGAATCCGCACGAAACTCACCTCGAAATCCGGAACGAGGTTCTCCAGGACACTCTGGCCCGACCAGCCATAACTGGGGGAGCTGTGGCCCCTACCCCCCTGGAGGGACCCATCGCATCGACGATCTCTCGAGAGGGGTGTCGAAATCGATGAGGAGGAGGAGGAAGAGGAGGAGGAGGAGGAGGAGGAAGAGGAGGAGGAGGAGGAGGACCCCCAGGGGGGGAAGGACCACAGCTCCCCCCAGTTGTGGCTGGCCTGCTCCGGGCCCTTCCCATTGCCTTCCGCACGAGCTCCGCTCTGCGATGCTCGCGCAACGAGAAAACAAAGCTCCCCCCGAAGCAGGGCCCCCCGCTCCGCTTGAGCCGGCGACGGGGCCGCGCCGACTCCGCACGGCGGCGGGGCCCGCCGCCACACAGTCCACGCGCCCGGCTCCGTGCTCGCACTCCCTCGATCCTCCCTCCACTTCTTCGACCCTCCTCATCCTCCTCCTCCTCCTCCTCCTCCTCCTCCTCCTCCTCCTCCCCCTCCTAGTCGTCATCCTCCTCCTCCTCCTCCTCCTCCTCCTCCTCCTCCTCCTCCTCCTCATCATCATCATCATCATCATCATCATCATCATCATCATCATCATCATCATCATCATCATCATCATCATCACCATCATCATCATCATCGTCATCATCATCATCACCATCATCATCATAATCGTAGTCAGCATCACCTGCTTCTTCTCTTGTTCGCTGAGCCGCGCTCTGCCGTGCTTCTCTGCGCCGTGCCACGCCGTGCCCCGCCACGCATCGCGCATCCTGTCGCGATGCTTGCCCTGCTCGACGTCCGACTGCTCGAGAGTGGAGAGGAGATCTGAGCCATGGCAAGGGACGGGAGGGAGGGGCAGGACGTCAGATCTGACGCGAGCGCACCTAGCTTGTCGCCCACCCCCTCCTTTTTTGAAGGGACCCTGGGACACGCAAAGAAATGCACACAACTAAGAGGATTCCCCATACTTCCCCATATGTTCTGGGGAATCGACGATGAATTGTGTCTGTGTGGTTTTTCTCCTCCTGATTTTCGGACGCCCGAAATGGGTACGGAAAAAATGGGCACAATGACCAACAACGAATGTTGTCCCAAAGCAACAGCGGCCGCTGTTGGGCAGGCGGCCGTCTGTTTCAAACGGACACAGCCGCGGCGGCGCGGACAGCGAGTCCTGTTCAGAATGGGCAGGAACTTATGTTGGGCATTGTAATCATTCTTTCCGTACCCATTTCGTTCGTGCCGAGTCCTTCTTCTCTCGTTCGCTGCCGCCCCTGGGACCAGGCCGGCGCGGGCTGGCAGCGGGGCAGGACCTTGAGCAGGGAGCGACCGTCCCGGCATTCCTATAGTCCTACCACGAAATGTTCTCAGAATCCCAAATATGTTCTAAGAACAAGCACAAGGTTCTTAGAACATATAAGCCCGACGTGTGAAAACAGGACAGCCCCGGCCAGACACGTTCGCAGAACATCTCGAGCAGACCACAAAAGGTTCCAAGAACATCCTTTGGTAGGGCTATAGGGAGGAGGAGGAGGAGGAGGAGGAGGAGGAGGAGGAGGGGAGGTGAGCTGAGGAGGAGGAGGAGGAGGAGTAGGCGGGAGGTGGGGAAGGTGGAGGAGGAGAGACGGGAGGGAGGAGGGGGGAAGGGGGAGTGGGGAGCAGGAGGGGAGGAGGAGGAGGAGGGGAGAGGAGGAGGCGAGGCGGAGAGGCGGGGCGGCGGAGGAGGGAGGAGGAGGGAGGAGGAGGAGGAGGCGAGCCAGGACCCTTCGCCATTGCCTGGCGCTCCCGCGGCACCGCCGGCCGGAGCCAAGCCCGTGTGGGCCGCCGCCCCGCCGCGCGGCCGCCGCCGCGCCGCGCCGGCGAGGGGCAGCCGCCGCCCGTGGGCACGCCGGACGCCGAAGCCCAGGAGGCAGGGAGGGGATCTGGGGGTCTGAGCTGGTGGGTGAGGGCGAGGAGGAGGAGGAGGAGGAGGAGGAGGAGGAGGAGGAGGAGGAGGGGGAGGAGGAGGAGGAGGAGGGGGAGGAGGAGGGAGAGGAGGAGCAGGAGGCCCTCGCCTCGAGCGTCGCCCTTCCCCGCTGGCGTCGGCGTCGAGGCCACGGCGCCGAGGGGCCGGAGCGGGCGCTCTGGTGAGGGGCAACACCAACCACTAGGGGGGGGGGGAGGGGCATGAGAGGGGGATGCATCGACCTGGAATCGGCGATGCATCGCCGAGAGATCGGCGATGGGCCCCTGACAGTGAAGCCACGCCTTCCTGGGCGGGGCGGGGCCACCGGGCCCCCTATCGGCGATCAATGGGCGATTGGGGGTCGACGCATCCCCTCTATGCCTGTCCCCCCCTATCGTTGCCCCTGAGGGCGTCGCTCAGTGGGAGGGCGATACACACCGGTCGGAAGAAGTGAGTAGAAACATGAAGTAGGAAGACGCTGAACGTGAATTGGGTCTCCGCCCGCCCCCTAAGGAGGACGGAACAGGGGAAGCCACTCGATCACTGAAGTAGGAAGGCGCTTGAAGTAGATTGGAATCTGGGCCTCCAAAAACATCTACTTCCAACGACCGATGGGTCATGGTGGGGGATGAGAAAGGAACTTCTCTGGCCCTAAAGGCTCCCCTTCTGCAGCCCTCCTCGACATCGAAGGCATGGCTTCGTCCAGCCCCCTCGCCCCCGAATGCCTATGCCGACGGGCGTGCGCGCAGCGCGGCCCGCGGGGGCACCAGCAGGAACTGCAGTCGCCAGTGTCGGCACCAAGATTGACACTGGGGGCCTGGGGGCGTCGCCACGTCGACGGAAAAACTGGCGTTTGCTTTCGAGGAGGGATGTGGGCCCTCAAGGGCCCTGTTCAGGGGCTCTACTAAAGAGGCCCCCTCTTCTGCAGCCCTCGCTGCCCCCCCATTGATCGCCCCCCCCTCCCTTACGCGACGCCCCGATTTGAGCCGTCGTGCAGGGTTCCAGGAGGTCTGGGCAAGAGGCTACCCTTCCACGGCTGGTCTGCAAGGATCTGAAGTTGCCCGTCTGGGACCGTCGTGACCCCTCCCCTGTATGACGGTTTTCTCCTCCTCCTCCTCCTCATCCTCCTCCTCCCCCTCCTCCTCCTCCTCCTCCTCCCTGCCTCTTCCTCCTCCTCCTTTAAAATTACACTATATGAAAATACTCTCCCACTTCCCCTGATGACGTCCCGAAGATATCCGACACCCCCCCGCGTACTTTTTTACACATTCCCGGGAAACGGGTTTTCGCTTGCGTTTTTTTTTCAAAATGCTGCTCTCGCTGAGGCGCCGGCCTCATTTCTGCTGCCGAATCGTTCCTTTCCGAATCGTGCTCCCGCTGCAGCGTGGGCCTCATTTTCGGATCGGTGTTTGGCCTCCGTCGTTCAGGATGGCGTTCTCGCCCCAGCGCGGGCCTCTTTCTCGCGCGCCCATCCGCCCGCCACCACCGCGCCGCACCAACCACCACCACCACCACCACCACCACCACCACCACCACCACCACCACCATCACAACCACCACCAGCACCACCACCACCAGCACCACCAGCACTAGCACTAGCACCACCACCACCACCACCACCACCACCACCACCACCACCACCACCACCACCACCACGACAACAACGCACACACGCACGCACGCACGCACGTGCACCACCACCCACTACGCACGCGCGCGCGGAGCCGCTACGACACGCGTCCGCGGATAGAGAAAACCAGCGCCATGGTAAGGGATGGGAGGGAGGGGTAGGACGTCAGATATGACGCGAGCGCACCTAGCTTGTCCTCCCCCCCTCCCTCCCTCCCTGCCAGCTCTGTGCGCGCGGCCAGCAGGAAACGGGTCGCGCTGATCTCGACGGTCGCCCCGACGTAGAAGTCGCTCGGCCGGAACCTCGAGGGGGGGGGGACGAGGAGGAGGAGGAGGAGGGGATGAGGAGGAGGAGGAGGGTGGAGGAGGAGGAGGAGAGAGGAGGGGGACGAGGGGAGGAGGAGGATGGGAGGAGGAGAGGAGGATGAGGAAGAGGAGGAGGAGGAGGAGGGGGGAGGGGAGGAGGAGAGGAGGAGGAGGAGGAAGGAAGGGGGGAGGAGGAGGAGGAGGATGAGGAGGAGGAGGAGGAGGAGGAGGAGGGGGAGGGGGAGGAGTAGGAGGAGGAGGAGAGGAGGAGAGGGAAAAAAGGAGGGAGGAGGAGGAGGAGGGGAGGAGGAGGAGGAGGGAGGAGGAGGAGGAGGAGGATGAGGAGGAGGAGGGGGAGGAGTGGGGAGGGGCGGTCAGAGACGGGGGACGAGCGGCCCCACCCCCGCCGCGGCGAGCTGGCGAGGGCCCCGCCTGGTGGCGGGGACCTGCTGATTTATTGCTGGCGGCCTCCCGCTCGGGGCATTCGACCGTTCGGCGCTTCTCAATCGGGGAGCGATGCATGATGGGCCCATTTTCCACCACCACTACGAGGAGGAGGAGGAGGAGGAGAAGGAGGAGGAGGAGGAGGAGGAGGAGGAGGAGGAGGAGGAGGAGCAGAAGGAGGAGGAGGAGGAGGATTTCTGGATGAGGAGGAGGAGGAGGAGGAGGAGGAGGAGGAGGACATCATAATCACTCAATGCGTACGACCTCTACGGGATCTTAAACCCACGTGTGCGTCTATGAATAGATTATGTCTGTTTGCGTGTGTGTGAGTGATGACAAGATATAGATCGGGGTAATAGTGTGAATAATCAATGATCAAAGGTGAGGGGGGTGCAAGCAAGTATCACAGTTCGAACAAATCGTCGATTTAGCATGTGTTGTGACTGAAACATTCTCTGACCAAGATAGGGCATACGGATCATGATTGTGTGGTGATAGTGATGGCATATGGGAGATTATGGTGTTCGCACACTCATCGCTGATAGGGGTCGTCTGGTGTGTTATGATGTAAGTGTAGCAATGTGGTCACCACACATAATACCAATCGTCATCTCGGTCGTCTCGTGCGTCCTCCTCTCATTGCATAACATCTTTACTCATCCTACTCCTCCTTCTCATCCCTCCATTCCGTCGAAATAAATATGGTAGTCAAGGCAGATGTAAGCGTATTGAAGGCGTTGGAAGTAGGTTGGATATCCGCCCGCCCCCTGAAGACGAAGGGGAAGCAAACATCACTCGATGATTGAAGTAGGAAGGCGCCTAAAGTAGATTGGAATCTGGGAATCAAAAATTACCTACTTTCAACGACCGATCGGTCATCGGGGAGCGATGCACGGGGGGGGTCCACAAACGTGCACCCCTCGCGCATCTCTGCTGAAGTCCTCATAGGGTGCCCCTTGAGGGCCCCGACGGTGTACGAAAGGTCCACCTGTGTCAACCCTTAGGTCGGGCGTGTCATCCTACAGGGGGATTTTGGATGAAAAATGGAAACTAGTCTACAAATGAAACAAAAAGACCTAGAACAGTCAACAAATCGCCCCCTGACTATTTTTTGACTATTTTTGAACGGTCCTCATGTAGAGGGACAGGCTGGACCTAAGTCAACCCCCGTTTCTCGACCATCACGCCACGCCCGAGACAGCATGAGACATCCTCAAGTGAGCGTTTTCTTATTCGGCGTTTCGACATTGGGCGGAAGGGGGGGGGGGGGGGGTCTGCCTCTGGACCTTGGCTTAGTGCGACTGTTTGCTACAGTGCGTCCCATGGGGGAGACTCCACCTGCTTGAAACGGCCACAGGGTCCACTTGGGGGGGGGTGGCGGGTACCCGCCGATCGGCAAACCAACGAATAAGAAAACGATCACCAACCCTCTAGCGTCAAGTCGGGCGTGTCCCCATACAGGGGGATTTTGGGCGAAATCGAAAAAACGTACAAAAAAACCCAAATCCTCAAAAATAGTTGGACAAAAATCGTCCCAGACTATTTTTGTCACTATTTTTGAGTGTAGAGGGACACGCCCGACTTAACTCTATCGCTCCAGAGAAGCATCGCGCGGACCCCATGGCTGGAGGTGGCCCGCTGGCAGTGCCAGTGCCGCCCCTCCTCCCTCCGAGGCAAGAGGCCAAGAGGGGGGTGTCCGAGAGGGGGGGGGTGCAAATCATGACCGGCGGCATGTGCGCGGCCCAGCGGGGGGGCCAGGGACGTAATGAAATAAGAAGAGGCGCCATGAAATCTGGGCAAATATCATGGCCCCCGCCAGGATATCCCCCCCCCTAGTCATCCCCCCCCTCTTTTCCGCCACCGATCCGAGGCAAGAGGCTGCTTTCGGCTTCGGCCCGTTTCGGCTCTGGCCCGCTTCGGCGTCCTGGGTTTCCTTCGGCTTCGGCGTGCCTCGGCCCAGCCCGTCTCGGCTTCGGCCCGCTTCGGCGCCCGGCCCGCTTCGGCTCCAGCCCGTTCCGCGCCCGTCTCCGCTCCGGTCCGCTTCGTCCTGGGCCGTTGCGGCTTCGTCCCGTTTCGGCTCCGGCCCGGTTCGGCTTCGGCCCGTTCCGGCTCCGACAAGTTTCGGCCCCCGGTGGCGCCAAACCAATCCGGGTTCGGCGGCTTCGGCCGGTTTCGTCCTGGCCCGTTTCGGCATCCGTTTCGTCCTGGCCCGTTTTGGCTCTCGTCCGCTTCGTCCCGGCCCATTCAGGCTCCGGTCCGTTCCGTCCTGGACCGTTTTGGATCAGGCCCGTTTAGGCTCTGGCCTGTTTCGGCTCTGGCCCGTTTCGGCTCTGGTTCGTTTCGGCTTCATTCCAGGATTGCTTGGGTAATCAGGTTCTGCTATCAGTTGATATTTTTGCTGCATTCGCTGTAGCACCTGCTCAGCCACTGGTGTTATGAAACTGACGGGCGAGTGCATGGGACCCCCGGTCAGTGGTACTCCTCCTCCTTCTCCTCCTTCCTACTCCTCTTCCTCCTCTTTCTCCTCGGCCTCCTCGTCGTTCTCCTCCTCCTCCTCCGCCTCCTTGCCCCCGCCCTCGTCATCTTCGCGTCCTAACCGCCAAGCCAAGGAAGTCAAAAGGGGGAGATGGTTTGGTTAGGTGGACATTGGCTTGGATGGAATTCAATCCTCGCCCCCCTTCCACTCCAAAATCTCCCTTCTTCCCGCTACTCCTCCGCCCTTTTCCGCTTTCTCATGCTTCTTCTCCCCCACCGCCCCTGCCCGTCCCCGCGGAGGCAAACGGATGCGGCGGGGGAGGACGAGGAGGAGAAGACGGCACGAGAAGAGGAGTGGGAGAAGGAGGAGGAGAAGCAGGAGCAGGAGGTAAAGTGAAAGGGGAGTCCCAGGCCGCCGTGGGCATGCAGAAGGTTGGTCTCCGATCTTACTGGGTTCCGAGCGGCACCAGAGCTGGATTTGGGAAATCATGAAGAGCAGCTCTTTTGCACATATCAACGGGTTCGGGGACCCCGAGCCCGTAGAGGCATGAGGCAAATGACGGAACTTACGAGGAGGAGGAGGGAAGTAGGCAAAATCTGGGGATATTCGCACGTGCCAGCTCGCGCACGGCGCACTTCGCTGCGCCAGCGATGTCTGCAGGGAGGTTGCCAAGGCATTCTGTCCAAATGTGCCCGACTGCGTTCGACGAGCATCCTGCTGCCAGCGGTTCTGCAAGCAGGCTAGGAAGCGCAGCTCTCTGCGGCTAGCTTCCAGCACGCACAAGCGTGCGAACGTTTTTTTAAAGCTTCCCGCTGCAGGGCCCGTCCCTATCCCCTCCTGTGCTATTTCACTGCACCTCCTCCTCCTCCTCCTCCTCCTCCTCCTCCTCCTCTCCGCTATATTCTCCGCCTGACCTTCCTCCTGCATCCTGCTCCCTGCTCCTCCTCCTCCTCCTCCCATTCGTCCTCCCTGACCCTCCTCTCCTCTCCTCCTCCTCCTCCTCCTCCTCCCCTCCTCCCCCTGCTCCTCCTCCTCCTCCTCCTCCTCCTCCCTGACCTTCCTCCTGCTCCTCTCCTCCTCCTCCTCCCTGACTTCCTCCTCCCCTCTCCTCCTCCTCCTCCTCCTCCTCCTCGGAGAGGCGCCCGGCCGTCCCCGAGGAGCCACTGGCCGGTGGCCGGGTTCTTCTTGCGGGCCTTGGCCGCGAACTTGCCCTGAGGCGGCCGCTCTGCTTTGTCGCTCGCTGTTGGCCCTGGGAGGGGGAGGGGGAGGAGGAGGAGGAGGAGGAGGAGGAGGAGGAGGAGGAGGAGGAGGAGGAGGACGAGGAGGAGAGGAGGAGGAGGAGGAGCAGGACCAGGACCAGGACCAGGAGCAGGAGGACGAGGAGGAGGAGGAGGAGGAGGAGGAGGAGGAGGAGGAGGAGGAGGAGGAGGAGAGGGAGGAGGGGGAGGAGGATCGATCGATCGAGCTCTCGGGCCAGTTCGGGGCTACGCTCTCTCGGGCTTGCGTGGCGTTACAAAATCTGGTGGCCTAGCTGAGATCACTTTGCCGAAAGGGGGTCGCTGGCGTCATCTGAGACGCTCGGGCCCTACCTGCACCGACCTACCCCGCGCAGGGGTCCGTGGGCAGGGTAGCACCCGCGTTTACGAATGCCCTCTCGCTGGCTCCTCTACTCCCCTGCCCTGGCCTCCTCTGCCCCTTCCCTTTCGCTTCGGTTCGGGGGGGTGGGGTGGGGGAGGTCGGTGCACAACAAAATACTCGGCAAAGCTCGGGCCTCGGAGTCGGAAAAGGTCAGGAGTCTCAGACGCCGGAGGAGGAGGGGGGAGGCGGCCTTCCCTTACCAGCATTCTAAAACGCTCACTGCCTCTGAACGCCTTCGGAATTGCCTGTGCTACGGCGCTGGCAGGCACAGGACAGAGCTGCACGGTTCTCATCCGTTGATCAGGCGCCACATCTCCCGCTCCAGCACTTCCCTCGGCGCCCATCCAATGTTGCGAACCGTTCCTTCTTTGCGTAGTACCCGCACGTGGATGAGCTCCACTTGCGGGTTCGCCAACTTCACCTGGGACTGGATCCTGCGCTTCTCGTTCGCTCCGCCCTCTTTGCCCTTGTTCTTGCGCACCCTGGAGATCGGGATGCTGTCGGCCGCCGTCTCCGCGTTGCCATTCGAGATGGTGTCATGGTAGTACTTCTCCCAGTGGCCGTGCTCCGCGCCTGGCTCCAGGGCGCGGCCCATGTAGTTCACCACCTCTGTCCACGCGCTGAAGCGGGGGCTGCCCAGCTCAGCCTGCTCGCTCGCCAGCGTCTGGGCGAGGTGCGCCGTGATGTCGACTACCTGCTGGTTGGGCGCCGCCGCTGTTCCTCCTGGTCCTTCTGCTGGTGCCCCTCCCACTCGGCGGCTCGGCTGGCGGCTGCGGTCGGGGCGCGGTGGCCCTCCTGCCGTCGCCGCGGGCGCCCATGCTGGGCGCTGGTCGAAGAGCGCCATCCCGTGCTCGCGGTCGGAGTAGCTGTCTAGGTAAGTGAATGCATAGGTGGGAGAAAAACGTGCCCTTGTCAAAGAAGAGATGGCTGGAGAGAGGGCATTTCGTGCTCGGTTTTGTCGGCAGGCATTGATTACGTGTCCTATCTGAATTGCAGCTTCCTGTAATCATACTCCTCGCGAGATGTTTCCAAGCGGTCCCTCGGCTAGTGAAACGCTAGTGGCAATTCATGCTCTCGTTGTTAGTAGTCAGCAGAGCGGCTAAATTGTGTACGTGATGATTTCGGATGATGTGACTGTGCAGCGCCTCCTTGCTGGCGAACAGGAGTCCGCATTCTCCTAGACAATCCCTGAGATAGCATTTCCACGGTTGGAGGTCCTGGAGGGCCAGATCTTCTCGGAGCTCGTCGTTGGGGGCCTGTCCGGGTGGGGGAACTGCTACTGTCAGTTTAGCTGATCGGACCTCTCGTGCGTCTAGTAGGTCTAGTTGTTCTCTGACTTCGAGCGTGAACATCTTACCTATCTTGACCTCCCCCTCCCCGAAGATGGTTCTGAAGTTCTTCGAGACTTGGCAGGCTTTCGCAACGTCCTCCTCGATTCGACGGGCCCGGGGGTTCGCATGCGTCGTCAGCTCGTTCGTGGTCTCGCCGGCATTCGTCTCGAATTCGAGGCGTCCGAACAGGGCGACGATGAGTTGGCGGTGATTGTTCGGGAATCTCAGGATGTTTTTTTGCCCAGCCGAGCCTTCGGACCAAGGCTTCCTCCTCAGGCGGCAGGATCTGCCAGTAGCGAAAAACTTCCAGCGTAGTCATGCTGCGCGCTGTGCCGTCCTCGTGGTGCGTGCTCGCCCTGCCTGCCATCGCCCTCCTCAGCAGTGCTCCCATTGCACTCTGAAGTATATGGTACTCGTTGGGCGTCGGCAGGTAGCACTCGATGCATGAGAGTCCCGTGTTGATGACCCTGCAAATGAGGACGGCGCGCTTCCACCTGTACGGGATCTCGCGCTTGGTCCAGAACTTGCCGCACTCGTAGTAGCTCTTCTTCATGGCCTGGATGCGTTTCTGCAGTTCTGGGTAAGATTGTTGTGTCGCTGTGACCTGTGGGCCCAGGTACCTCGCCGTCGCCGCTACCTTGCCAGGAAGCTTGCACTGCGGGTCCTGCTCGAGTTGTCGATGTGCCTGGCTGGCACCCGAGCCCTGGAAGTAAACGATCGTCTCCTGCTTGTCCTGGTTCTGTTTGAGACCGATCTCTGTGAGGCGTGCGTTCAATGTGTCGTCTATCTTGTGGGCCTGGTCGACGAGGGTGTGGGCGTCTGCTTGCTTCCCGCTTAAGGGGGGCCTGCGCATGTCGCCCACGTACTTAGTCCGGCCAACGTAGACGGGGCGTTGAAATAGTTCGCTCGTGCCATAGAGCAGCTTGTCGTTCGTGATCTCCTCGTTGCAGTCCTTAGTCCAGCGCTCAATGCAGGGCGCGAAGCTGGCCACGACGTTGCGTATCATGTACGGGTCGCCAATGAGGCCACCGCAGTGGGGCTTGATGCACACGCCCTGCTCGTCGTCTCTGCAGTCTATAATGGAGGTTGCTCGGCGGTAGCGCTGTTCGCCCAAGTCCCATCGGTCATTCGGCATGATATTGCTGTTCGCCGCGCCCATGGTGATCCATTTGCAGCTGGCGAACGCGTTGGGCATATCCTTCATGGTGGACGCGTAGTTGTAGCCCGCCATTCGCGCTCTGTACTCGATGACCGCCATGGTGAGGATCGCGCCTTCTCCTCGTCTGCCCTTGATGAAGCCGTAGTCCTGGTCGGTGCGGGCGCGCCTCTGCTGCCGGCGTAGCGCCGCCGCGTAGTACGCCTTGCCGATCGGGTCCATGATGTGGTAGATCCTCTTGCCTGCTGGGCCCTTCTTCGTGTTCTTCTTGACTGCTGTCGCCGTGCTCTGATGCCAGCGTACTGGTGCCACGTTGCCGAGGCGTGTCGCTGCCAGTGCCGCCTTGAATAGAGCTTGACATAGAACAGGCTCATCGTCGTACGCTTGGTGTCCGGGTCCGTGTCGTTGGCGCGGTTGTCGGTCTTGGCTTGGCGGGCACAGTAGCAGTCGCCATACTTCTGCTGGCGCCGCTGTAGGTGGTGCTGCTCGTCGGAGGCGTGCACGTTTGAGGCGCTTCGCGATCTCGTTGTAATCCTCCTCGATCTTCTCCTCTAAGTCGTTCTCGTAGTAGTCCTGCTCCCCCGCGTAGTGTGGGATGGCCTCCAGGTGTTGCGTGTCCTGCTCTGTCCCCTCCATGCCGCCAGCGCCTCCTGGAAGTTGCCAGAACTCTTGCCACTCCTGTTTGGTTGGGTTTGCCGTCGTCGCCGTCCAGTTGTCCTTCTTGCGTGGTCCGTGCCGTCCTCCTGCAATCAGCCGGGAGAGTCGCCCAACCCGTGCTAGGTCGCGCTGCTCCCACGCCTCGTACATCTCCTCCACGCGGAGGTCGGTACGGTGTTGCTGTGCCCGTCGTCGTTGTAGTTGGCAGGTCCGAGTGATGTCTCGAAGCTGCGTCTCTATCCTGCGCATGCGATGTTCTGTCTCAATGAGTGGCGTTGGTTCCTCTTCGGCGCATGGGTTTCCTTCCGTGTTTCCCTGGTCCCGAGTCGCCGTCGCGGGAGAGTCCCTGGGTTCGAGCTCGTCCGTGCAAAACGGGGGTGGCGACGATGCGGTCACAGGCGTGCGAAGAGCCTCTGTGGTTGCTGCGTGGATGTCATGAAGCTCGGCTCTAGCTGCTCTGTGATCCCGGAGGAGTTGCATGCGTTCGCGGCGCAGTTCCTCGTACTCGTCCGTCGGTGTCGGTGCCTTGATGTAGAACCTCTGTGCCTTCTCGACGAGCATGGCGTTGATGTCCTGGAAGAGTTGGTCTACTCCTTTGCCTGCTGGGTCGTAATCTTGCATGGCCTGCTCCACCTGCTCTATGAACTCCCCTCGACGAAGTCCGTGTCGCACTGCGTGGGCCAAGCTGTCCTTGTCCCACTTGGGCGGCTGGGGTCGATGTTGTACTCGTTGTCGTAGTGGTAGGCGAAACGTCACGTGAACTGGAACGTGATCCCGTCGTGCTCGGCAACGTATGTGTTGTAGGCGCGCTCCCATGTGTAGTAGGGGTCCTTGTGAGATCATCGTTTCCGTCATGCTCTGCGGTATCATGATATAGTCGATGCAGCTAACGTGTTTCTCGCCGAAGTACGTGGGCCTCCAGCTGCCGATGGTGTTCACTATGCTGAGTTGGTGGCGGTCCGTGTAGTTTCGTGCTTTCTGCCCAGCGCCTCCTGGTAATCGTTCTGGTGATCGCCCTTCGCCAAATGCTGCTGTCTCTGGTCTGTCGCCCTTGCTCGTGATGCCCACTCCGTCGTTGAGGTCGCCTGCCACGATGAGCATCGTATTGCGGTGCTTCCGCTGGCTGATGTCCTCTATCCAAGCGAACAGGCGGCTGGTCGTCGCATAGTAGTCCTTGCGCGATGTCTTGCCCTTGGTGGGCTGCGGGGGGCTGTAGTAGCCGATGATCAGCATGGTCTGATCGTGGTGCTGCAGTGTGATCGCGAGTCCTCGTCCGCTGAGTTCCTGTGGTGGCTCGTGTAGTTATGTCACCTTGGCGCCTCTTAGTCGACCCTGTAGAGCGATGATGATGCCCGTGCTGCGGTTGGTCAGGTCGCCTGGCTGCCAGCCCGCCTCGTAATAGCGGGTGTCGGCGCTGCGGTGCTGCGTGATGCTGGGGTCGCGTCTTCTGCGGGAGGTCCCAGTCAGCACGATAATGTCTGAGCCTCCTCGTATATCTCCGCCAGCCTGTCGGACTTTGCCGTGAGCGGGTTGAAGAGAAGCACTGCGAGAGACGCTCTGAGTGCCGCCATCATGCGGGCCGTCACCCCTTCTGTCCGCTCGGACTGAGGAATTGCATGGTGGCGGTCTGGGCTGCCCTGACAATATCTTAGGCCCAGATGGCAGCTGGGGGAGGAGGAGGAGGAGGAGGAGGAGGAGGAGGAGGAGGAGGAGGAGGAAGAGGAGGAAGAGGAGGAGGAGGAGGAGGAGGATAGACCAACGACCGCCATCAGCAGCAGCAGCAGGGGGAGGAAGAGGAGCAGGAGGAGGAGGAGGGGTGGAAAGTAGGGGAACGAAGAATGATATAAACATAACAATTCGGAAATCGTTCCATTGTCCCAGAAATAGTTTCGAGCACACGGAAATGTCATCAAGGTGTCGAAACAGTTTTGAAACAGTGTCGGACGAGTGTCTCCCAGGGCCCGACACGTGAAAGCCCTCGAGTTTCGGTTCTTTTTTGGTGCTCGAAATTATTCCTGGTGGTCCATGCTAAAGTAGGTAGGAACATCATAAGTCTGAGGGTAGACAATAGGGGAACGAAGAATGACATAAACATAAAAACTCGGAGGTCCGCGCGGATTTCTCGGATCCGCGCCGGACTCCCCTGGCGGCGCCTCCGGCGCCGCCCCTGGCGCGCTCCGCGCGCCAGGGAGGGGGTCCAGCGCCGATCCGAGAAATCTGCACGGACCTCCGAATTTGTATGTTTTATGTCATTGTTCGTTCCCCTAGAAAGGGAGGACGGAGGAGGATGGTCGAGAAGACTGAGCGGAGGAAGGAGGACGAAGGATGCTGACGAAAAGGAGGATGAAGGGGGATGAAGGGACGAAGGAGGGTGAAAGGGAGGACCTGAGCGGAAGAGAAGGCCGAATGAGCGGTGGGAAGGGTGGACGGTGGAGGAGGCAAGCACATGAGAGCAGGGGGGAGGTCGAGTGGAGACCGAGGGGAACGAAAGCCCCACGCCTCCGACGCCGCTGATTGGACGCCCGAGTTATCCGGGGTAACTCGGGTCCGGGGTAACTCGGGTTTGGGTTCCCGGACAACGAACCCGAGTTAACCCTGACCCGAGTTACCCCTGATGATTCGGGGCTCTGGACGCCCGAAATATCCGGGGTAACTCGGGTCCGGGGTAATTCGGGTTCGGATTCCCGAAAAAAGGAACCCGAGTTAGCCCTGACCCGAGTTACCCCTGATGATTCGGGGCCCTGGACGCCCGAAATATCCGGGGTAACTCGGGTCCGGGGTAACTCGGGTTCGGATTCCCGAAAAACGAACCCGAGTTAGCCCTGACCCGAGTTACCCCTGACGATTCGGGGCTGAGGAGGAGGGGAAGGAGGAAGGAAAAAAGGAGGAGGAGGAGGAGGAAAAGGAGGAGGAGAGGAGGAGGAGGAGGAGGAGGAGGAGGAGGAGGAGGAGGAGGGAGGGAGGAGGAGGAGGAGGAGGAGGAGGGAGGAGGAGTAGTTTTGGCGCCTTTGGCGAAAGTTACTATGAGGCACACCACCCGATCCCCGCGGCCCGTGCTTTTCGCATGGGGGGCGCGGCTCGAGAAGGCCCGGGGCCCCCTTGGCATGGGGCTCCGGAGGCCCGCGCTTCGGAGACTGCCGTCGCGATGCTTGGCCGGCCGCCCGAGTGCTGAGAGAGAGAGAGAGATATAGGGATAGAGAGGAAGAGAGAGATGGAGAGAGAGATAGGGAAGATAGAGGATGGAGTGCTGACAAAGAGAGAGAGAGAGAGAGAGAAAGAGGGAGAGAGAGAGAGGAAACAAAAAAAGAAAGAGAGAGAGAGAGAGATAGGGATAGAGAGAAAGAAACAGAGAGAGAGAGAGATAGGGAGCCAACAAGCAAAGCAGCGGCTGGGACGACGACGAAGGAAGACGATGAGGCGACGACGGACGTCCGACGACGACGACGACGACGGCGACCGACGATGAACGACGACGGACGACGACGACGATGACGACAACACACGACGATAGCGACGGACGACCACGACGACGACGGATGACGACGACCACGACCACAGATGACGGCGACGAGGGACGACGACGACGACGGATGACGACGACGACGACGACGACGACGACGACGACATAACGACGATGGCGACGGTAAACAGTGGACGACAACGACATCGACGAGCCACACGGCACCAGAGGGGCGCGGCACGCAAGGGTCGGAGCTGGCCGAGCCAGGGCGAGGAGGAAGGCGGGGCGAGGAGGGCAAGGAGGCGGCACGGGAGGACAAGGAGCAGGATCAGGGGAAAATGAAGAGGGTACGGGGGATGAGGTGGAGGAGGAGCATGGAAGGAGGAGGAGGAGGAGCATGGAAAGAGGAGGAGGAGGAGGAGGAGGAGGAGGAGGAAGGGATTTATGAGAAAGAGGACGGGAGGATGAGGACATGCTGAAATGTAGCGCTGATGCCATGGTGCGACAACCACTGCCACAGTTGCGGACACAGTGTCGTACCATCGGACGGAGGCTTCCTGGCGAACATCAAGTAAGATGCGGCAAGTGCACCAGCGCGAGCACCATCTTGCAAAGGCAGCGCGCATCCGGATTCCGTGCCAAGGTACATCCCCAGCTGCCATCGCCGCGGGAGCAACATCGTGCCATTGGGCTGAGGCTCTCTGGTGACCATGAGGTATGGCGAACGGACCAGCAAGAGATGGAACATACCACATCGAAAGAAAACTCTCATCCGTCCGGCGCAACAGTGCAGGATACGCTTGAGTATTCGCCCAACTCAGAACGACATTAGGGGACCTTGCATTTGTAGGGAAAGAAACATATGAACTAACGTCCTCAGAAACAAGTGCGTCAGCCCTGGGCGCGACCATGTTAGACCGATCATGCCTCTCAGGAGGCCGTGGCTTGGGCGTCTGTGCATTCGGCGTGGTGCTATGCATACTGGGGGGATCATGGTGAAGCGAGCAAGGAAGGTTACAAGACAGAGGCGGAGACAGCAAATGATAATGAAACGTAGGACGATGAGACGGAGACAGAGACAGATGAGGCCAATTGGGGAATGCGCACGGGGACATGAGCAGGCCTGGGCGTGTGCCAGGGCGGGGTTCTTGATCTCCTTAGATGCGCCCCTTCCTCATACATCTCCGCCTCGATCCCACAGCATCATCATCATCATCATCAGCAGCATCAGCATCGCCAGCATCATCACCACCAACACCATCATCATCGTCATCGTCATCCTCATCATCAGCATCATCACCATCCTTATTCAAGACATCATTACCCTGCTCATCCTCCACTTTCGCCTTCTCCGCATCCTCGACACCTCAAACCTCCGAACAACTCCCAAAACCACCCATACATCTCCAATAACTGTCCGAGAAATTCCGAGATCATCCAAGCAACAACTGATCGAACCCCATCATAACATAATCATAACGCAATCAGGAAACCCTTAAGGAAGTCCAGGCTTCCTCGTCTCCCTCCTCAACCACCTCCACCTCCTCCTTCTCCCCCTCCACCACGCGGAATCCTCTAACTCCTCTCATTCCTGCTCCTCCTCCTCCTCCTCCTCCACCTCCTCCTCCTCATCTCCTCTTCCTCCATCCCCCCCATCCTCCTCCTCCTTCCTCTCCTCCCTCCTCATCCTCATCCTCCTCCTCCTCTCCTCCTCCTCCTCTCCTCCTCCTCTCTGTTCCTCGTCTGCCTCCTCCTCCTCATTCCTCCTCCTTCCTCCTCTCACACGCCTCCTCTCCTCCTTTCTCCTATCACACCTCCTCCTCTTCTCTTCACCTCTTCCTCATCATCAGCATCATCCTCCACCTCCTCCTCCTCCTCCTCCTCCTCCTCCTCCTCCTCCTCCTCCTCCATTCCTTCTCCTTATGTATAACTCCTCTCTGTCCCACCCCGAGGCCAGTTTTTAGGGCGGGCCGGGCGTCCCGCCTGAGACTTCCTCATCATGTAAAACTCTGAAATTTTAGAAGTGACAAGAGCTTCACATATGGATGGCGTGTGGTTTTCAAAATATGCCTCTCGCCTCAGCGCCGCGCGCATTCGTTTTAAACATTTGCAACAGTTTCACACATTGAGTCTTGCCTTAGCGGCGCGCGCATTCGCTTTAAACCATTGCGCTAGTTTCACGGATTGAGGGCGGCTCCTTTTTCAAAATGTGGTTCTCGCCTGAACGCCACGCACATTCGTTTTTCAATTTGCAAAAGCTTCACGTCACGGATTGAGGGCGGCTCTTTTTCAAAGTGTGGTTCTCGCCTTAGCGCCGCGGAAATTCTTTCTAAACATTTGCAAGAGATTCACGGATTGAGGGCGGCTCCTTTTCAAAATGTGGCTCTCGGCCTAACGCCGCGCACATTCGATTTCAGAACTTGCAAGAGTTTCGCGGACTGAAGGCGGTTCCTTTTCAACATGTGGCTCTCGCCGTAACGCCGCGCGCACATTCGTTTGCACAAGTGTTTTACGGAGTCCCATGCTCAACGCACCTGAATAAGTGTTTGGGAAGGATTCAGGATTATGCGGGCGCAACAATCATGTTGATTCGCAGTGTGAAATCCCAAACATGGCGTTCTGGCACGATTCAGGATCGTCAAGACGCAGCAATCAGGTTGATACGTGGCGTCGAAATCCCGAGAACAATGTTCTGGCACGCTTCAGGATCTACAAATTGTTGTCTTCCAGCGAGGCAGTTCCCTCAATGGAAATGAACCGTTGTAGGGGGCCTATGAAGAGGGAGCTTGGAAGGAGGGTTTGTTCCAACATCGTTGATGATTCTTGGGTTTCCACTGGTCCTCCCCCTCCCCCTCCTCTCGCGGGACGTGGGCTGACCGCATCACTGGCCCTTGCCAAACCCATCTTGGGTCCAAGATCGGTGCACACATGCCTTTCAGGCCAAGGGGCAAGAGCAAGGCTTAGATTCGGCCAACTAGCTTTACGAAAACGGATCAAGAATTGCTGTTTCAATTCGCAAGATTACTTCTGGCCCCCAGGGCGCGATCCGTGTGATGTGTGTGCCAAAATTGGCAAGTGGTCGCTGGCTCACCGGGCAACTGGGGAACCAACCAGGCAGCCCTGGCCGCAAGCGCTCCGCTGGGCGACCTGGGGCCGAACCATGTGGCATTTCCACCGCTCGTGGGCGGTGGCGCGAGTCTCGAACGACGTCCTCGCCCCGCCCGAAGCCCCCTGACTGCTGTCGCGGGGCTGCGACAATGCTTGTGCTCCCACCGGCCGCCCATGCGGGCTGCCCGCGTGGGCACTTGGCGGCGCGGCGAACCTGGGCGAACTGGGAGTGAAGGTGAGGCTCGTCGGCGCCGTCGCAGCCGCAAGTGTGCACGCCCTGGGCGCCGGCCCGCCCCTGGCCGCACCTCTCTCCCCGCCGCCCTCCTTCCCTCTTGCTCCGGTTCCCCCCCCTCTTCTTCCCCCCCTCCCTTGCCCTTCCTCTCCCGCTCCCCGCCACCCCCTGGGGCGGCTCGCCTGGTTGGCCCGCGCACGGGCGAAGAGCGCACCCCGCCCGAGCGGCACGTGGCCGAGTCCCGGCCCGACCCAGTCACACCGAGCACGGGCAAGTGCGCCGCGACGGGGCCGCACCGCAGCGAGGTGGCCCCCCCCCTCCGCCGCCGCGCCGCGGCGCGGCGAACTGTCCGCCAAGACGGGCCCAGGGCCGTGCTGGCCGGAGGCGCCGCGCTCCGTTCCTTCCCGCCCTTCCCCCCCCTCCACAATTACACAATATGAAAATACTCTCCCACTTCCCCTGATGGCGTCCCGAAGATATCCGACACCCCCCCGCGTACTGTTTTTTTCACACAGGATTCCCGGGAAACGGGTTTTCGCTTGCGTTTTTTTTCAAAATGCTGCTCTCGCTGGGGCGCCGGCCTCATTTCTGCTCCCGAATCGTTCCGAATCGTGCTCCCGCTGCAGCGTGGGCCTCATTTTCGGATCGGTGTTTGGCCTCCGTCGTTCAGGATGGCGTTCTCGCCCCAGCGCGGGCCTCTTTCTCGCGCGCCCATCCGCCCGCCACCACCGCGCCGCACACCCCACCACCACCCACCACCACCACCCCACACCACCACCACCACCACACCACCACCACCACCACCACCAGCACCAGCACCACACCAGCACCACACCAGCACCAGCTCCACACCAGCACCAGCACCAGCACCAGCACCAGCAAGCACCAGCACCAGCACCAGCACCACGCACACACGCACGCACGCACGCACGCACGCACGCGCACCACCACCCACGACGCACGCGCGCGCGGAGCCACAGGTCCGCTACGACACGCGTCCGCGGATAGAGAAAATCAGCGCCATGGTGAGGGATGGGAGGGAGGGGTAGGACGTCAGATATGACGCGAGCGCACCTAGCTTGCCCCTCCCCCCTCCGCCCCTGCCCTCCCTCCCCCCCGGCCCCCCTCCTAGCCCACCGCCACTCCCCATCCCGTTCAACCCCCCCTCCGCCCCTTCCCGCCCAATTCCGCGCGCCGCTCCTTCCCGGGCCCCGCCCCCCCCCACGCCCTCGCACCCCTGCCCGCCTCCCCCCTCGGTCCCGCGCCCGTGCCCGCCCAGCCAGCCACCGCTTCATCCCCGGGGGGGGGACGGGCCGCACTAGCGTGGCGTCCGGCACCCCTGGCGCGGCAGCCGCAAGCCCGGCGGGGCGGTTGCTAGTCCACGCTGGGGTGTTACAGCGGCGCGAGGGCTGGAGTCCCCAACACAAGTCCGACCTGAAAACTCATCCTTCCCCCCCCTCTCCTCCCGTCCAGCCCTGCCTCTCCTGCCCTTCCCCCTTCCCTTTGCCCGCCTCCTCCCCCTTTGCCCGTCTCCTCCCTCCGACGGCCTCGTCCCCCTTGCCCTCATCTCCCGCCTCCGCTCCTCCTCCACCTCCTCCCGTCGTCTCTCCCCGCCCACATCTCCTTCAACTCATTTCCAAATCCCATCTCGCTTCTCCTGTGTCCAGCTCCCCCTCGCAAGGGGCACTGCTGGGCCCATCGCCCACACCGCGACGTCATCGTCGGCGATATACGTCGCGACGATGAACCGCCGGTCCTGGTCCTCCTTCCTGGCGGTCTGCATGACACCCTCGAAGCGAAGCACCTTCTTCCAGGAAGGGGGAGGGAAGGAGGTTACGAAAAGGGAAGAGGAGACAGATAAGAGAGGAAGTAAGAACGATCAGGAGAAGAGGAGGACACAGAAACAATCGGAAGCATGGCATACATAATAAGAATAAGAGCTCACAGCACTACTCGAACAAGTTTCAGAACTCACCACCCAAACACCAATGCAACAACCACAAATCGCGCACCACAAGACACCATGCATGACTTACTAATCATATCAGCCAGCGCAGACTCCAAATAGATCATACGACTGGGGTGGACTGGACTGGACTGGACTGGGGTGGACTCTAGTCCACTCTACTCTATTATATAATACCCGACTCGATTATACCATCTACCCCACCCTGCTCTATTCTGCAACTCTCTACCCTACTCTACTGTACCCTGCCCTATCCGACCCGAACCTAAGTATACTCTATTCTACTCTACCCTATCGTACCCTATTCGGTTATGTTTCTAATGTTTCGATTCCACCCTACTCATACTATGCTCGTCTCCCTCGGTGGTGTTCAACGGATACCGCTGGTCCGCGGCCAAATCTCCATAATGATTACGCTACCGAGGAACCCCACATACTTAATTTAAAGATTATGTGTTTGCTTATGTATATTTATATATACATATATATATATATATATATATATATATGCACAATCCTGCGTTCTGGGTCATCGTCGCGAATGTTCCCTGCTAGGCTTTGCGCTAGTGTCGTGGATAGCGGCCGAGCTGAGAGACCACCCCCTGCGCACCCCCTGTGGTGTCGAGAAAGTGCCACGCCTGCTAGCCTTTGCGCCAGTGTCGTGGATAGCGGCCGAGCTGAGAGGCAACCCCCTGATGCCCCTGCGCACCCAGTGGTGTCGAGAGAGTGCCCACGCCTGAGGCTTTGCGCAGTGTCGTGGTTCGGGCCGAGCTGAGAGAACCCACCCCCTGCCGCACCCCTGTGGTGTCGAGAAAGCCACGGCTGCAAAGCATTGCGCCAGTGTCGTGGATAGCGGCCGAGCTGAGAGACCACCCACTGCCCACCCCTTTGGTGTCGAGGAAAGCACGGCCTGCTAGGCTTTTGCGCCAGTGTCGTGGATGGCGGCGAACTGAGACTCCCCCTGCGCCCCCCTGTGGTTTTTGTCGGAGAAAGTGCTACGCCGACTGGGCTTTGCGACAGTGTGGTGGATAGCGGGGGGCCGAGCTGATGGAGACCACCCCTGCGCATCCCCCTGTTGGTGTCGAGAAAAGTGCCATCTGATAGGCTTTGCGACAGTGTCGTGGGTAGCGACCGAGCTGAGAGACCACCCCCTGCGCACCCCCTGTGGTGTCGAGAAAGTGCCACGCGTGCTAGGCTTTGCGCCAGTGTCGTGGATCGCGGCCGAGCTGAGAGACCACCCCCTGCGCACCCCCTGTGGTGTCGAGAAAGTGCCACGCCTGCTAGCCTTTGCGACAGTGTCGTGGATAGCGACCGAGCTGAGAGACCACCCCCTGCGCACCCCCTGTGGTGTCGAGGAAGTGCCACGCCTGCTAGCCTTTGCGCCAGTGTCGTGGATAGCGGCCGAGCTGAGAGACCACCCCCTGCGCACCCTCTGTGGTGTCGAGAAAGTGCCACGCCTGCTAGGTTTTGCGCCAGTGTCGTGGATAGCGGCCGAGCTGAGAGACCACCCCCTGCGCACCTTTGGTGGTCCACAGGTCACTCTTCCGACCTGCTAGGCTTTGCGCCATGCCGTGGATAGCGGCCTCGCACTGAGAGACCACCCCCTGGCACCCCGTGTGGTTGTCGTGAAAGAATGCCACGCATGCTAGGCTGTGCGCCTGGGTCGTGGATAGCGACCGAAGCTGAGAAGAGACACCCCTTGCGACCCTGTCGTGTCGAGAAACGTGCAAGATTGCGAGGCTTTTGCGCCCAGTGTGTGGCGGTGCCGAGCTGAGGACCACCCCTGCCCACCCCTTTTGCGTCGAGAAAGTGCCACGCCTGCTAGGCGTTCCGCCAGTGTCGTGGATAGCGGCCCGAGCTGAGAGACCACCCCCTGCGCACCACCTGTGGTGTCGAGAAAGTGCCACGCCTGCTAGGCTTTGCGCCAGTGTCGTGGATAGCGGCCGAGCTGAGAGACCACCCCCTGCCCACCCCCTTTGGTGTCGAGAAAGTGCCACGCCTGCTAGGCTTTGCGCCAGTGTCGTGGATAGCGGCCGAGCTGAGAGACCAACCCCTGCGCACCCCCTGTGGTGTCGAGAAAGTGCCACGCCTGCTAGGCTTTGCGCCAGTGTCGTGGATAGCGGCCGAACTGAGAGACCACCCCCTGCCCACCACCTGTGGTGTCGAGAAAGTGCCACGCCTGCTAGGCTTTGCGCAGTTCGGTGGCTAGCGCCGAGCTGGGGGACAACCCCCTGCGGCAACCCCTGTGGTGTTCGCGAAAGTGCCACGCCTGCTAGGCTTTGCGCCAGTGTCGTGGATAGCGGCCGAGCTGAGAGGACCACCCCCTGCGCATCCCCTGTGGTGTCGAGAAAGTGCCACGCCTGCTAGCCTTTGCGCCAGTGTCGTGGATAGCGGCCGAGCTGAGAGACCACCCCCTGCGCACCCCCTGTGGTGTCGCGAACGTGCCACGCCTGCGAGCCTTTGCGCCAGTGTCGTGGATAGCGGCCGAGCTGAGAGACCACCCCCTGCGCACCCCCTGTGGTGTCGAGAAAGTGCCACGCCTGCCAGCCTTTGCGCCAGTGTCGTGGATAGCGGCCGAGCTGGGAGACCACCCCTTGCGCACCCCGTGTGGTGTCGAGAAAGTGCCACGCCTGCTAGGCTTTGCGACAGTGTCGTGGATAGCGACCGAGCTGAGAGACCACCCCCTGCGCACCCCCTGCGGTGTCGAGAAAGTGCCACGCTTGCTAGGTTTGCGCCAGTGTCGTGGATAGCGGCCGAGCTGAGAGACCACCCCCTGCGCACCCCGTGTGGTGTCGAGAAAGTGCCACGCATGCTAGGCTTTGCGCCAGTGTCGTGGATAGCGGCCGAGCTGAGAGACCACCCCCTGCGCACCCCCTGTGGTGTCGAGAAAGTGCCACGCCTGCTAGGCTTTGCGCAGTGTCGTGGATAGCGGCCGAACTGAGAGACCACCCCCTGCGCACCCCCTGTGGTGTCGAGAAAGTGCCACGCCTGCTAGGCTTTGCGCCAGTGTCGTGGATAGCGGCCGAGCTGAGAGACCACCCCCTGCGCACCCCGCGTGGTGTCGAAAAAGTGCCACGCCTGCTAGGCGTTGCGCCAGTGTCGTGGATAGCGGCCGAGCTGAGAGACCACCCCCTGCGCACCCCCTGTGGTGTCGCGAAAGTGCCACGCCTGCTAGCCTTTTGCGCCAGTGTCGTGGATAGCGACCGAGCTGAGAGACCACCCCCTGCGCACCCCCTGTGGTGTCGAGAAAATGCCACGCCTGCTAGGCTTTGCGACAGTGTCGTGGATAGCGGCCGAGCTGAGAGACCACCCCCTGCCCACCCCCTGTGGTGTCGAGAAAGTGCCACGCCTGCTAGCCTTTGCGCCAGTGTCGTGGATAGCGGCCGCGGTGAGAGACCACCCCCTGCGCACCCCCTGTGGTGTCGAGAAAGTGCCACGCCTGCTAGGCTTTGCGCCAGTGTCGTGGATAGCGACCGAGCTGAGAGACCACCCCCTGCCCACCCCCTTTGGTGTCGAGAAGTGCCACGCCTGCTAGGCTTTGCGCCAGTGTCGTGGATAGCGGACCGAGCTGAGAGACCACCCCCTGCGCACCCCCTGTGGTGTCGAGAAAGTGCCACGCCTGCTAGCCTTTGCGCCAGTGTCGTGGATAGCGGCCGAGCTGAGAGACCACCCCCTGCGCACCCCCTGTGGTGTCGAGAAAGTGCCACGCCTGCTAGGCTTTGCGCCAGTGTCGTGGATAGCGGCCGAGCTGAGAGACCACCCCCTGCCACCCCCTGTGGTGTCGAGAGAGTGCCACGCCTGCTAGGCTTTGCGCCAGTGTCGTGGATAGCGGCCGAGCTGAGAGACCAACCCCTGCGCACCCCCTGTGGTGTCGAGAAAGTGCCACGAGCTGTGCTGTGCTGTGCTGAGCTGAGCCGTGCTGGGCTGTGCTGAGCTGTGCTGTGTGCTGAGCTGAGCTGAGCTGTGTGCTGTGCTGAGCTGAGCTGAGCTGTGCTGTGCTAAGCTGTGCTGTACGAAGAGTGAGGTGTGTCGCGGGTGCGGCGCGGCAGGGAAGAAAACCAGAACCCCACGAAGCATGTGGGGAATTACAAGTCCAGGGCCGGCCCTGGCATTCCATATCCAGAAGCATGGCGCCGCCACCGCCCGAAAAGCCGAGCTCCTTGTGCCCCGTGGCCCTCGGACTCCGCGCCAAGGCCATGCCCTTGGCTTCATGTCGGCAGCTTGGCGTGGAGGCCAAGGTGCCGCGAGTATGGCCGGAAGTGCTCCACCAAGGTTTGGTGCGAGGCTTGGAAGAACCACAAGCTTGATGTTGTTCCCATCGTAGTTGAGGACTGCACTCCAGAAATCATTTCGAGCACCCAGAAAAAGTGTCGAAGCAGTGTCGAACGAGTATCGCCTCCCGGGGCCCGGCACGGGAAAACCCTCCAGCCTCGGCACTTTCCCGGTGCTCGAAATTCTAGATGGCGATCCAGGCTCAAGTAGGTTGGAGCATCCTAGCACGAGCCGGCGGGGCGCGGCCGCAGTGGGGGGGGGGGCGTGGGCGCCCTCGTCAGCGTCAGTCACCCAGCGCATCCCTGGGAGCACAAGCGCTTCGGGCAGCAGGCCCGCAGGATCGAGGAGCTTCGGAAGTCCACCCCTGGCCTCGAGCGCGAGGCGACGGCAGCTCAGCATGCAGCCTTCGTCGAGCTCTCGGAAGAACTCGGAGGAAGTTAATGCAGGCAAGGCCATCGCCGACACGCTCGGGAAGCTGGCTGCCAAGTACGAGGAGAAGCCGAAGCCCCAGACGCCGGGCTCCCTCGAGGCCGCGAAGCGCAGGTTGGAGCAGCAGAAAGACAAGC